CGCAGGGCTTCGCCTAAGCTCTACAACGATATGACCAAGGTGGAAATCTGTGGAGGGGGGCAACGCACACGGCTAAACAATCAACTTGTGTGTCTATGGGGTGCCCCCTCCCCCGTATATAAAGGAGGGGAGGAGGAGGCCGGACGACCCTAGAGGGAACGCCAAGGGGGAAGGAATCCTCCTCCTAGTAGGAGTAGGATTCCTCCTTTCCTAGTCCTACTAGGAGGGGAAAGGAAGGAGAGGGGGAGGGAGAGGGAAAGAGGGGCCGCGCCCGTCCCCTAGTCCAATTCAGACTCCCTTGGGGGGGCACCTCCTGGCTGTTGCCCTCTCTCTCCCCTAAAGCCCACTAAAGGCCCAATAACTTCCCGGGGGGTTCCCGTAACCCTCCGGCATTCCGGTTTTATCCGAAACCTCCCGGAACACTTTCGATGTCCGAACATAGCCATCCAATATATCAATCTTTATGTCTCGACCATTTCGAGACTCCTCGTCATGTCTGTGATCATATCCGGGACTCCGAACTACCTTTGGTACATCAAAACGCATAAACTCATAATACCAATCGTCACCGAACGTTAAGCGTGCGGACCCTATGGGTTCGAGAACTATGTAGACATGACCGAGACTCATATCCGATCAATAACCAATAGCGGAACCTGGATGCTCATATTGGTTCCTACATATTCTACAAAGATCTTTATCGGTCAAACCGCATAACAACATACGTTGTTCCCTTTGTCATCGGTATGTTACTTGCCCGAGATTCGATCGTCAGTATCTCAATACCTAGTTCAATCTCGTTACCGGCAAGTCTCTTTACTTGTTCCGTAATGCAACATCCCGTAACTAACTCATTAGTCACATTGCTTGCAAGGCTTATAGTGATGTGCATTACCGAGAGGGCCCGGAGATACCTCTCCGATACACGGAGTGACAAATCCTTATCTCGATCTATGCCAACTCAACAAACACCATCAGAGACAGCTGTAGAGCATCTTTATAGTCACCCAGCTACTTTGTGACGTTTGATAGCACACTAAGTGTTCCTCCGGTATTTGGGAGTTGCATAATCTCATAGCAATAGGAACATGTACAAGTTATGTAGGAAGCAATAGCAACAAACTAAACGATCATCGTGCTAAGCTAACGGATGGGTCAAGTCAATCACATCATTCTCTAATGATGTGATCCCGTTAATCAAATGAAAACTCATGTCTATGGCTAGAAAACTTAATCATCTTTGATTCGGCGAGCTAGTCAAGTAGAGGCATACTAGTGACACTCTGTTTATCCATGTATTCACACATGTACTAAGTTTCCGGTTAATACAATTCTAGCATGAATAATAAACATTTATCATGATATAAGGAAATATAAATAACAACTTTATTATTGCCTCTAGGGCATATTTTCTTCAGGGGCTACCAATTGCTCCTGTCAAAAATTCAAGGTACACAAGCCTTAATCCATTATATTGAAGGATTCATTGCTCAGTTGGTAGAGTACAAAGCTATTAACCTTATGGACGTGGGTTCGAGCCTCATGGTGGGGGTTACATCATATGATGTTATTTTCAATGAAGTATATATAAAGTTCTAGCTCAGTATTATCATACTGAGCCGGCCCTTGGGGGCGACACGTTGCTATTCAAAGTCTAAATGATCATATTTGCAAAGTCCCTGCTCATTATTGCATAATGACCCGGGCCTTGAGGGCTACACTGGTTGAAGTTTTTATGAGCATAAGCCAATTACAGGTCCTAGGTTGCTGCAAGCATGACAACCCGACACTTGGGGGCTACATATATGGAATATTCAGTTTGACTAGTGATTGGGATGAACAACCTGGATTTCTTCGAGGTTGCAACATTTATATTGAAGCGAGTCTTAAGATGTTACTACGCTCCCTTCTTAAGACTTGGGGGCTACAAGTGATATGCATATAAGGGAGGAACCTTTCAAGCTTGATGTTAGAAACAATTATGACCCGGTGCCATCAATATTGACAAACCGGCAATTTTGGCAATGATAAACCGGCAAGGACTACATCTTCAAGCCGGCTGAATATCAGTTGAATATTTCAAGACCAATATTTTTGTCAAGTCGGAGCATTGAAGGCCGACTCAAACGAATTATTCTTCACAATATTTTTCTGTGAGAAACCAATGTCAGCAAATTGATTATGAGGCTGGCCTATTGAACCGGACTTTTCAGAAGAAGGAAATGGCAAGGACTTAAGGATGATTAGGTGCCGGCTTGCAAGAACTTTTAACCCGGAGTGCAACCTGTCAAATATGTTCTTGTGTTTTTTTTTTGCAAGATGAGTTTAACATGGATAAATCCAAATTAAACTGGGGGCTAATGTCGGGGATATACCCCACGGTGTAACCCGGTTGGATGTATGACCCGACTGGACTTGGCGACTCACTGGTGACCTGCCCTGACCCGACGACTGACTAGTAACCCGCCCAGAGTTGGCGGTTCATTGGTGACCCGACAGGCGGGTCAGAGGAGCGACAAAATCGGGTGGCCCAGAAGGCGGCTCATGGAAGGCCGACTCATGTTATGGTGGGCCGGTTTAAGGCATAAGGAATATTCTCTTACAAAGGGAGAAAGACTAAGATTCCACTTGTAATAGAGTAGTCCTAGTCCTACTAGGACTCTACATGTAACCCGCCCCTCCAACTTATATAAGGAGGGACAGGGCACCCCAAGTGGGACAAGTTCCACGAGTTGAACATATTAGGGATAGACAAACAAGTCTATAACTCAGTTGATAGAGCATCCTTGTAATCGTGAGTATCACCATGATCAATATCAGTGAAGCAGAATGTAAGCTTTTACTTTCACCGTGAGGTGCCGAAACTGGGTAAAAACCTCGCATCTCTCGTCCCGCTCAACCCCTCTGAAGTTACCACATAGATGTGTTGGCCTCACGACTAAATCCTCACATTAAGGACATCTGCCGTGACAAATCCATGACAGGGGGCAACGAAACTACTCTCTCTATAAAGAAATATCAGAGCGTTTCGGTAACTAAAGAAGTTTCATTAGGGAGTACATGAGATGTTTTCTTCTTCTTCTGTATTTGCTTAAACACACACAACTGGAGTAATAAGTATGCAAAGTGCGGAGAACAGAGATGGCAACCAAACGTACAGACTCGTTCGTTGGCTTCTTGTACCACCACAGGTGCCGTGGCCGGTAAATTAGTTAGGCGACAAGATCCATGGCAGAAACACGTGGAGAAGCAAGCACGGACGCCAATCAAGAACGTACGGTGGGCGCGGTGGGCGCGCACCGGTTGCGACCCCGACACCGCCCCGCCAAGCCGAGCCGCACACGTACGCGCGCGCGGGGCAACTGGATCATGATCACCGGCAGCCACCGCAGCGCAACGGAAGCAAAATGAATGGCGTTGGTGGGGGCTCGGCCGTCCCGTCGCGGCCGACCCACGTGTGCCCATGTGCGCCCGCCACCCCGATCAACGTGGCGCTGCCCCCTTCCTCTCGCCCGATCGCCTCCTCGGCCGTGCGCGCGCCGGGAGCGTGCGCTGCGCATCGATCCCCTGTGCCGCGCGCGCGCGCGCGGGCGCCGTCGATGCCACGGCGAAAGCGGAGGGAGCCCGTCCGGATTCACGGCGCGAGTGGTTGCACGCCCGCGAACGTGTCGCTGCTGTCCTGATTGACGCGCGGTGCGCGGTGCCCTGCCCGATCGGGCTGCGTTCGCATGTGGCCATCTGTCTGTTGGATTCGATTCGGTGGAGCTGATGTTTTCGGCAGGAAGCTTCGCGGGCGCGCACCGCCAAATTCCGTGTCGCGGGCACAGAAATTCCACTGAAAACAACATGGCATTCGCACAAATCAGCGTTGCGCGTGGATCAGACGGAATGGACGGAGCGTCCAACGAACGAACGTAATCAAATGGCGCAAACTAATCGGAGAGGCAGAGCGTGGCCGCCCATAGAAATTTCCGCTGTTTTATTCCCCGAGGAACTGCCGGACTCGACAGGATAAGGACTGATCTCTGTTTCTCTCTCCTGCAAGTGCATCCTGATGCATGCACGAGGCGCGGCCGCAGAGATCCAAAATCCTTGTTAAAACGTTGTCGCCAGGCGACATGCCTCATGTCCACGGTACAGGGCTGTCAGTGCGTGCATGCATGCATGCACGGATGCGGCCATTGCAGGCGTTCTGCCACCCAATCCGTGCTGCAATATCTCTTCCTGCGCGATTATTTTTTTCTCAGCCAATTTTTGCAGCAGCAACTGAATTTATAGGTGGGCAGCAGGGCAGGGAAGGGCAGGAGTAGCTATTATATTGACATTGCAAAACATTTCTTGATTTTTCGCAAAGACCCACTTCTTGATCATATGCTGGGCTATATATCAGTACCCCGCAAAAATGATGAACCCTCCGTCCCAAAATAAGTAACTCAATTTTGTAATAACTTTAATACTAATACAAAGTTAATGTTACATTGACTCACTTATTTTGAGACGAAGGGAGTATGAATTATTTTTCTGGAATACTAAAGCATATGTTTTGAACGTTTGGCTATTACAAGTCAATGTTGTTTTTGGCTATGAGTTACGCCTATTTCCAATTGTACAGTACAATTTTCATTGGATTTTTTCTTCGTTTTGTATGACTCGTGGCAATGGCACATTGGCACCCGCTCCATTCTATGATATGAGATGGACACGATAACTAACTCATGTTTGCGATAATTGTTTCTTGCGAACAATGGAAATATCTAGTACTGGTGTACTACCAGGTGAAGCCAAAACAGTTGGTTAATGATGTTTTTTCTCCTCCAAGAAAAGGGAAATTAGCTCCTCTCTTTCTCACCGGCCGTCCAAACCGAGCATTCTCCTCTTATATAAAGCCTCCGCCTCCGCTGCTCTCTTCCCAGCACAACACCATCACCCACACAAACACACGGCCGAAGCAACCCAAGCGAGTCCTCGTGTTCCCGTGCACACACGCCTAAGCTCGAACCATGTCGTCGCAGCGGATGGGGCGTCACCAGCGCCGGGCGTCTCAGAGCGTGTTCGCGCTGCCGGAGAACTTCGCGGCCCTCGACGACGTGCCGGCGTCCGACGAGCACCGGAAGGCGGACGGCGGCGGCGCGACCGAGCAGCAGCAGCAGGGGGCGGGGCGCCACCGGCGGGCCATGTCCATGGCCGTCGCCTCCTCCAGGGACCTCGAGATGATCAAGGAGGACGTCGGCGGCTACAGCCACTACAAGATTGGCGCCTAGATTAGTGCCACCGGCGGCGCGCACGGCCGGCGCGGCTCAGAGCACGCACGTGTACGGTGTTCGTAATACGTGCGTGCGCGCGTGCTCGGTGGCGCTCTCGGCGGAGCTGGGGCCTCGCGCGCGCGGCTGAGCTTTGCTGCCGCCGGTGCCGGTGCCGGAGGCCGTGGCGCGTGCTGGTTCGTTGCTTGTATGGTCAAGCGGCCGAGCCTGGTTGAGGTCTTGCTTGCTTCGATTCCCTTTTCTTTTGCTCAAGACATGCATGTAAGGTGTGATGTTATTTGCGAGTTTAAAGCTCTTCAAATTACTAATCCTGCGTGTATCTGATGATGATGTTTCACCATTAGCCTTGCTCCTAAAATGTCTTCGTTTGTTTGCTGGCCCGCAGTTGTTTTTAGTTTCAATCGATCGCTCACAGCCGTTGGATTAGGATCCAACCAACCTAGGGATTGGGTGGTCGGATCAACCCAACCCCTATAGCCTATTTGGTAAACACTCGGGCAAGGAAATGCGAGTTTGCACAAGGGTTGTAGGAGTAGATTTTTATTCCCATTCCCTTGTTTGGCATATGATAGAAGTTGACATGGGTAAAACTACCCCTAAAGGAAATCGGTGTGAATTGGCTTCCTCAATTTCCAGTCCCCTTCCCACTTAAACTCCCATTAATCCCTACAACTAAACAATGTCTTGTGAAAATAGAAAACGAACGTCTCCACCTCCGACTTGCCCTGGCCTAAGAGCAAACTCTAGCAGAGCCTCTAAATTCCCTACCCGTCAAATCATTTTATGATTCGCCCTAAAACAATTTTACACGCAATTCATCTCTGACGCAGAACAAATATCACAAATTTAAAAACTTAAACGTAAAAGGTCCCTCTACATAGATCAGTTCAGATAACTTAGATCGACGGAGGGCCGGCGGCGGCTCACCGTTTCACGTTGAGGAAGTGCTCACACATGCCGAGTGGTAGAGGGTGTAGGCGAGCTCGTAGTCCGCCTTCGCCGCCTCGAGGCGTTCGACGACACCCTCTTCGCCGGCCGCCACCGCCTCCTTTGTGGCGTTGTGCGCGATCTCTGCCTCGCAGAGCTTCTTCGTCGTCGGCCAGAGCTGCACATGGAGCTCATTGCCGCCGTTGCAGGAGAGGGAGTCGCTGTTACACGGTTGCACTGACGCCATAGCTCGGTGACGGCCTGGCTGGAGCTGTCGGCCTCCGCGTCATGCCGCCGCGTTTGTGCGGCGACGACCCACGACGGCCTCCACGTCTGTGCCCTTCTCCTACCATGTATGTGCGCTTGAGAGGGGAAAAACTGGCGGGAATCACTCGTCGGAGCTAAGAAAGGAGGTGGTGAAGGGGGAGTAGACTGTTGCTGAGGGGGGCTAATCTGTCTGAGAAAGAAACCCTAGAACGCCCCCCACCACCTACATATAGCGGCGGAAACATCAATTTGCGGGGCGCTTGTATATTTCTTATGGACCGGTCAAAAAATAGCGTTTCTGTTCCAGCCTGCAAACGTTAAATCGGCCGCAAATATACGGGCCGACGGCGGGAAAGCGCATCCGCTACACATGCTCTAAACGTCTGCTCCTGTCTCCGTGGCCGATGGACGCTGACGCGGGTCGATCCGTCCTTCTCTAGCTGCCCTCGGCCATCCCTGTGACCCCCAGCCCCTTCCTCCTCACCTCACGTTCTTCGGTTCCGACAATCCTTCACATGCACCCGACCGGCCAATCTCCGACTCCTCTCCACCTGGCCGCACTATACCTTCTCCGCGTTGCTCCCTTAGGCCTTGTACAATGCTAGGTGCTTAGGGAGGTGCTTAGAAAAATAAATCGGCTTCTTCTGAAGCACCGGTGCCTATTTCTACAGAAGAGACGCCTAATTAAGCATGTGACCTGTATAAATAAGCACCGATGCTTAAAAAAGATTGGTTTATTTTTTCAAACACCTCTCCTAAACACCTTGCATTGTACAAGGTCTTACAGAGGCTCGTCGACATCCCCGCACCTCGCCGCGCTCAGAGTGCCGCCCCTGTTTTGGGTCTCGGTGCTTTGTGAAAATTCGAACGACATGGATTCATTTTCCAAACCACTGAGAAATAGCAAAACCGAAGAAAGAACATTCGACGACAAAACATAGGAAGCATATCCGTGCTCTCGCTAGATAACTACCACTCAATCCCCCGAACAGCACCAGCACAGAAAATGAAAACCGTTGAATCGCTGATGCTCTGTCCCTGATTCACGAAACACGCGCATGTTCACCCCACTTTCTTTCCTCTCTCCAACCCAACCAAAGTGGGGTGTGCGCATCGAACAATCCAGCCACGCACGCATGTTCTCTCGTCTCCGTATATGGCAGGGCAGGGTATAGCGAACGCAATAATTCCCTAAAATATGTGTATATACAGCCAGAATAATGCACTCTGCTCTATTTTTTGCTGTTGGATCGAACAAACAATAATGCACTCCTGCCGATCAGGATCTGTATGTACGTACGCGCAGCTGTACCGCCCGACGCCCGTACCGTAATCCAGGCCTCCCTCCAGGGTAAGCGACGCATCTACGTACCTTGTATATTTCTGCACGACGATCGCGTGCGTGCTTTTGATCTCGCCGTCGCTCTCGGGCTGCGTGATTGTCCCTCAGATCTCGATCTGGAAGAACATGTACACACACACGCCGCATGCATGACGGATCGTGCGGGTGCAGCAAGCGGCAGCTGGGTGATGATCATCTTTGATTTGGCGGCTCTGCTTTTGATCGGTTAACGCGTGGACATTTGTACGGTTGGCAACCGTATGGATAGATCCGCCTCGCTTTCGTTCGATACATGTACAGTGACTGATGAGGAAAAAGAGGAGGCGACCTTGTCGCCTGTGCATGTGATCGGTCGCGGCGGCCGGCGGGGAAGCAGGTAGAGGCCGACACGTAGCCACGGGCCGGACAATTTGTACTCGCTCACGCGGCTTAAGTACTGTATAGTATAGTCTTCAGCGTATTACTTCCGTTTCTTTTAGTCTATATATAACGTTTGTCTGAACTCAAAGTATCTTGATTTTGACCCAACTTATATAAAAAATATCATCACTTACAATACTAAATGAATATCTTTAGATTTATTATGGAATGTAGTTTTATATTATGTATATTTTGTATTGTAGATGTTGATTTTTTTTATATATACTTCCTCCGTCCAGAAATACTTGTCAAAGGAATGTATGTATTTTAGTTCTATATACATTCATTTTTATGCATTTCTGCAACAAGTATTTTTGAACGGAGAGAGTATAAATTTGGTCAATGTTTGTAAAGTTTGACTCGACGTAAATCTTTTTTTTTGAAATGAAGGCGTACCCCGGCCTCTGCATCATGATGATGCATGCGGTCATCTTATTAACCATCCAAAATCGTCATAAAAGTTTTACAGCTCACAAAATGGAGCAGAAAAGAGTATAAAAAAAGTACAAGGAAACCACGCCAACCGGCACAATGAAGATAAAAAGGACAAGTTCTCTAGACTTCTATCCTGTTATGCGAGCGCCATCCGAACCGGTTGAAGATATGGAGTAAAAAGAAATGAAGGGAGTATGTTCTTCTGTAGCTATGGCCTACGTGTATCTTTCTCATTCTCTGAAAAAGAGAAACAGTACTGGGCTTGCTATGAAGATGATAAATTCATATAAACTCATGGCATGCACATGCAGTAACATAATCTAGTGGAATCATCTCAGTCAGAATAAAAATAAAAAACATAATCTAGTGGGATTTTATGTCCCTGCAAAACTCACGGTGTCAAACAGCACAGGATAGCCGATAATATACTACGATGCTGGTAATCAGCGGCAAACGCCTAGGTGGAGAAGGGTTTGGGCTCCTTGACGCAGCCGGCTCCGACGGTCGCAGGGAGGGAGGTTAGGGCCGGCGGCTTGCCGACGTCCATGCTGATCTTGTACCCTATCTTAAAGCATCTTCAACCGCGTTCCCAACAGGGCTTTTCCAGACGTTTTTGTTGCATCGGTGTCTAAAAATCGATTCAGTCGTGTCTCTAGGAGCCCGTTTTTTGTCGGCTTGGGCCGAAATCGGCGCCGGCGGACCCGAGCCAAACCCGGCGCACTGGAAATGCTCGGGAACGCCGGGGCGAGGGTTTTGGCGCGAAAGCGCGGCGGGCCCGCCAAATCAGCGGCACGCGCTTCGTCTTTCCCGAACGTCTCGATTTTTCGCGGGGAATCAATGACAAGGCTGCCGCTGGTCAACCTTGCCATTGATTCCTCACGGACGATGCGTCGGGCTGGCTGGCGCGGCGACGCCTCCCCTTCCGACACGCGTTCACACGCCCTGGGCTATAAAACCAGAGGTTTCCCCTCGCCGCTGGCCACACCAGCCCGAGTCCGCCGAGCCCAAACCAGCCGCCGTCCCTCCCGTCCGCTGTCGAGCTCTGCCGCTCTCCCCTTCCTCCCCTTCCCCTTCCCCTTTCCATGGCCGAACGCTTCCCCGGCGACTCCGCGGCGGCCAACGGCTTCGGCCGCCGCTCGCTCCAGGAGGGCGAGGTGTGGCTTCTCTTTGAGGCCAACATCCCGGCGCCGCCGGACATGCGCGCCGGGCCGACGGGGTGGAGGCTCAGCAATGACTGCGTCCCCATCCCCCCGGTGCCCAACGTCGACGCGCGCCCCGGCCTCTTCGCCGCCGAGGTCGACCGCGTGCGGTCGTCCCTGACGGAGGAGCAGCGCGCTCTCCCCCAGTACGTCGCCGACAACCATGCAGCGTGGGCACACTATTTCCAGCAGCGGCAGGCGCAGCGGCTGGTGTCCACGAACGGGGCGCCGGTGGTCGGCGGCCTCAAGAACACCAACGGCCGCCGCGTCTGGTCGGGCGTCCCTAGTCGCACGCTCCATGAGGTACTGTTGTACCTCGAGGGCGGCAATGACCCGCCGCTGGCATACCCTGCCGTGGCGGCCGTCCTGACACCCCGCCGGAGCGCCGGGCCGTGGGTGCCCAGGAGGTT